TTTTATCTATTTTATTTATTGATTAATTGAACATTGTACAAACAGTTTTTTTGTACAAAAAGTTTATCATTAAACTAATAATAATTGTTGCTGCTGGTAGAATAGAACTGTCTGGGTGTTGTTTTATGAAGCTGTTAGTAGGGCCTAATTAGCGTCACAAATTGGAGGTCCTACCCAGATTCTGGTATAACATTAATCTGTACAACCAGAACCACCAGCAACACCGCCCTTATTTTTAGTCGACACTACCATCAGTTTATCTATTTGTTACATCACCTTATCTCAATTTTTATTTGTGATTTAGTAGCATCCTACAGAATACGTTTTTATTATTCTGGTAAGATTTTTTCAAGCTGTTAAGGAGGCTGTGATGGTAAGAAACCTTTAGAGGACAGATATTGTCGGCTAATACGTTGACAGCGGCTTCTGGAGGTGTTATTACCATAATCCATGGAGCTCCTAAAGCTCAAATTTCAACCGCATCCTTGCCCGCACAGCTGTTGTCTGTTTACGACTCTGATCTCTCGCGGCATGCTTGTTTGCTACCACTACCAAGCGAAAGCAAGGAACAGAAATTTGTACCATTACATGACTGTTCGTCTTGCCACACAGCTAAAAATCAAACGTACTCAATTTCCATTGTCAAAAGTGCTTCTAGCACGCAAACTGAGATTTTACCTCGTAATACATCTGCGAAAACTTTACCACTTAATGCATCTGCTAAAATCTCTGTCAAAAGATCCACAGTTGCTGCAGAATGAAAGACGAGAAAGAAAGTTCCTGTCAAGTCGCAGAAACAGCATAGAAGATCACCATCTCCTGATCAGTCTATTTCTTCTCTTAGAACAGAAGTTAATCTTAAGTCTAAAAGAAAAAGAAAACAAAAATCAAGAAAAATCACCATCAGAAATCCTCTACACGATCCTTAGCATCTTCAAATAGTTCCTTAACAGGAAGTGACGCTATGCATTCAGATAAAAGTGAATTTTTAGAAGTTCAGAAGAAAAGTAAAACTTTGAAAAATAGGAAACATCATCGAAAACAAAACACTTCTTCTTTTTCTAGTAGCGGTGATGATGATGATTCGTATTACGGTGGGAAAGAGATAACTTCATCCCGAAGAAAAAGAAAGTCAAAAAGAAAATTTTCTAATTCTTCTTCTTCTTCACGATCAACTGTTCTCGCTTCACCGGCAACCTTGCACGTTACCATTAATGATTCAATTAATGTATCGTTACGTTGTTCGCTCAAGTCTTGGCGGAAACTGGCTCTCCCTAGAATCACAGAATAAATGAATACTTTAAAAGCAGGTCAAAAAGATAATTCGACATAAAAATTAGAGCAAGCAATGAATGAATTTCTACGGGTTGGCCAATGATGAAATTTCAGATGCGCTTAGTTCAAGCCTGTATGTGTAAAACTCATCGACAGCATCTTGGAATGGAAAATTGGCATTATTGTCACATCATTTTTTGATGTTGCTCTAAACGTATATCGAAGTTTTCGGTTTCTCTTACGTATAATGCATTTATATTCACACAAAATCCCATAGACAGCATTGATTCTTGACGAATTATTAAGTTCTTCTTGCGCAATCCGATTGCGCAAGAAGAACTTAATAATTCGTCAAAACGAGAAAGGCTTTCTCGTTTTATTAAGTAATTCTCCTACACTTGGAGAATGTTTTGTATACCTTTGGATCTTTAAATGTTTTAAACTCTGTTTTATTTTTTCTGTCATTCCACTTAAATGCCGTATGGCTACAGTCTTAGCAAATTGTATTTTGTCGTGCGTTCTATTATCTCTTCTCATTTCTTGAAAAACCGTTAAATTTTTTTCATTTATCTCATTTTCATTAACTAATATGATTTTGCTTATCAGATTTTTATGATTATAAATACACAGTTCTGAATAATTTTTCAAGGGCTACAAGATGGACAATTCATCTTTTCATTATGACTGACACAAATGGTCTATAACACCTATAATGTGTGAAGGCGCGTAGTGCACCGAAATATAGAAAAAATCACATACGAGTAACTTCTCACAACCGCGGCAGTTCAGTCTGAAATTTTGAACATAGCCACAACTTTTTATTCTCTTTTCGATGGCAGTCTCAAAATTCTGAGGTTGCAGTACAAAATGTATGAGATGTTCGATAAGAAGCAATTCAGAAATGGCGCCATCACTGATTTCGATGTTTTTTATCAGTACCCACCAACGGTATCAATGTTTATTTTTCGACTGGGTACTCCCTCGTCTCCGATGTTATTCGTTAGTGACCTTAGCTGAAAGTTTTGCTCTATCGTTGAAGATACAGGAGCAGCTTAGCAGTTGGTTTATCCGGTTCGTCCATTCGAACTCCACGCTTGATATTTACGTCAAAATCACGAGAGAGATTTCTGACGAATGATCGTAAGCATAAACAGCTAGTAGACAAAAAACGAGTTTGGTGCAGAAACCCTTGAACTATGTAGAATTGCAAACGTACCACATGTGGCGGGCGTACATCTCCAGCATGTCAGTCGAGTAGGGAAGGGATCTCAAAATTTGTTCGGCGTACAGGTAAATCACACTCGTACTGTTTGAATGTGAATAGACAGTGTAGAATGTGGAAATGGCCTTCGAGTCTAAATTATTTTCCTGGAACAAAGTGTCTACATTTTGGATTGGAATCCAAGCCGTTCATTCTTACACTCACCCTCAGTCACTTGTCACGCTAAATAGTATCCACCAGTAAAATCATCCGTTCATATGAGAGAAGATCCATTATGTAGCAAAATGAATTACTATACTAGTTTAAATTCAATACCGATTCAAAATTAAAATGCTGTTAAATCGAACAAGAGAAGAACAATCCTTGAGATGCTAAAGGAAAATCTACATGATTTATTTTGTGTTTTTATTTCATATATATCTGTTGGTTAATTACTATTTTACACAACACTAAATTATCCGCAGAGACAACCGAGTAGTATCTCTGGCAGTCTAAATAGCGGTAAACAAATCCTATGTACTTCAGACAACAATCTCATTCAGTTGTGCATGCAATACTCAAACGAAAAGAAGCACCTAGACGAAAAATTGCATGAACATTTCGAAGAACCGTTTCTAATCAGAATTATTGAGAAATGATAAAACTGATAAAGAAGTTCAACAATTTTTTGTCACTTTCGATCGGACTACTACTTCTGCATACAAGCGTTCCCGATAATATGTGCTTGATTTGAGTACATTTGATATCGTTTGTGTCATTATTTGAAGATTCCACATGCGAGAAGGCCACTATTTCGAAGGCAAATCTCCAATCAGAAAGAGGCGTTGAAATGACATAGATTTTATCCACGAAAAAGATAGTATAGGCGATTTTAGCCTCTGTTCTATCCTGATCATAAGTTAAGTTAAACGGGAAATCCGGCTTTAGTTCATCATCCGATATTTTTCATACTTTGCGTGAGATCTGTTCACAATGCTAGGTTTGTGCAGGAAGATGGGCAGGAACTGGATTTGACGTGTAAATTATGCTAAAAGAGTGGCTAGAAATCTATCTGATCATTCTTTTTATATATAATAATTCTGCTTCTCGGCATTACCGTCTGTCCGGTTGACACGGGTATGTACAATATTACGTATGGAAGCATTTGGATGCAAGTCGAAATTTTCGTTCCATCAGTTCACATGCCCTATAGGTGCTGATAAATAGCAATAAGATTGTCTGTAACAAAGAACCTGACGAAGAGAATCCTAGACTACTTGTCCACGATCAAGATTTGTTCACTAGCCAAAAAGTCTTATTGGATAGGATAATAGGATTTTACGTAAACTTTCATGGCTTCGCTACTGAAACTATGTCCGTTCGCTATTCTAAGAAAGCCGGTAACATATAAAAGTGCGATTCGGTCTTGTATGGTCCTGGTGTGTTCTCACTTCCAGGCGTACTTGACGATAAAGTCAGTTTGCGTATAGTAAAAATCCTCATCACTATGTAATAGTGTAATGATAAGGAAGAAAATTTGTGCATCGAAAACTGTGCCTCGATAGCTCAGCGGTCAGAGCAATGGTCGTGAATACCACTGTCCTGGGTTCGATTCCCAGTCGAGGTGCACACTTTTCTTCCGAATATCAAGCTGCTGTTAAAAACTGATTTTCGTACAAATATTTAGCTCATACACTAAAATTTACATTTGGATAATGATATCAGCGATTCCACAAAAAAACAATTAAGATTTTTGTTACTGGATACGTATGGATACGATATGAGCTTTTCCAAAGAGAATAACTTTTGCGACCTACCATCTTCTCTAAGCTTTTCGTCGATCGTTATTACAATGGAATATTCATTTAACTTTGAAACCAAAAATGAAAATTTGGTCAACAAAGAATAAAAATTATCTTATTGCTTCAAAACGTGTTGAATATGATTTACCTCCAAAATTTATTGCTAAAACTGATTTATCATTTAAAATTGATGAATCTATTGTCGGTCGAGATGAAACTCAAGAGTTGTATAATCAAATGAAGCAAATTACCAAAGATTATCGTATTAAAGCTATGACTCTTTATGTTCAAGCATTGATTCGTGAACAAGAATTATTATCAATAGAAATCAAACGAATGATTGAAGGTTTTCCACATGATAATGATGATGGATTCGATGCTGCACCTCGTCTAGCTGCCTTCAAACAATGCCATGAATTACGAGAGAAACGAATGAATTTAGAAGCTGAACTGTCGATTTATTTTTAAGACGAACAGCGAGTCGAGGGGGATCCCAACAATCGAATGTACGAAGATGAAATCGTTGTCCCGACTCTCACGCGATAGCTGGGCGAGGATTTCTTGCTCCAGCAATAATCAGTCAAGCTAATATCCACTTAACCGAGGAAGAACATCAATTAAACCCCCCCCCCATAATAGAAGCCTCCGGGGCTTCTAAACTGTCCAAGCGTTCAAAATTTTTAGGGGGGGCTTGTATTATGGGGGGGCTACTATTACGACTTTCGTACAAAAATTTCCAGAAAAAAAAGGTGATTTTGAATTTCGATGCTCATCTTCATTCTCTTTCTTGCGATACGTATTACGAAAATATAAACGGATTGCGACATGTTCTTTAACTGGAAAAAAGAAACAGACTGTTCTACAATATGTTCTTTTCTTCATTAATTATCATAAAAACAAGTCTTTCTCTTAGTCCAAAAGTCGAACGAAATGAGGACATAAAAAGATATGTTCTGCAAAGAACATGTTCATTTCTTATAAATATGTCGGTAGTCTTTCGTCCCATCTCCACACTGACTGGCTTCTACTAATTTCGGTGTTCGTTCCCATCATCGATCGTTTGTTCCTGAATGAGATTAATGAACTGTTTCCTCCAGGCCTGTTCAGCATTGATCAAATGTGTCGTTTAAAAAACGAATTTTTCTGTCTAATTCTGTTACTTTTTAAAACGCTTATTTTTGAAACACTCTTACTTAGGCATGCACCAATACCAATCATTATTGAAGATATTGTACAATATTATTGGGTTCCAATAATTATTGGTCACCCAGTCTATTGGGACCAATAATATTTGTTACTCAATATATTGGGACCAATAATTATTGGCCACTCAATAATATTGTACAATAATATTGGATAATATTGGGTGCCGCAATATACTGGATTCCAACTTTTTAGCCTTAATATCATTTACCTTCGTAAAAGCGTGAGGAAGCATATCTCGATCGAGATTAGGCATGCACCGATTAACAATCGATATTAGGGCATCTAGCAAAGTCGTTCCGAATCAGTTTTAAAAACGCTTTACGCTTTAATACGGATCATTTAAATACGGTGGTCACTTCCTGTTTAACGAGCAATCAAGTGTTGGTATTTCCAAACTTTTTCTCTCAAATTTCATTTTTCTTATCTATTTGCCGATGAAGAGAGAGAAAATATTTATTGTATCTATGAACAGCGCTTGGTTCAAACAACCTACGTATCTGTAAACGGCTTTCTTAGCATGCTTTAGCCTATTGATGATAAAACATGACTTTATATAAATGAAAATCGTGCTTAAAACAATTTTCATGAATATACTTATCCTAATGGTACTCATTGTTGAGCATTTTTCAGCCTGATCTGCCGATTGTATTTCAATGTACTATAGTACGTTCTGTAGAGAATTCTACAAGATGTGCTAAAAATTGCTCGGGATCGAGGAAATTTTCTGTCATAATAATTGTTTTAGTGGAAAAACAAAGTTCTGCAGTGAAAAGAGAAGGATGGAAAGACTATCAGTGTGCTGCAGGAAAATCTGGAAGGAGAAGTGCTGAACTTGTCTGTCTAATTCTGTTACTTTTTTATGCAAAAGGCCGCCGTCTACGAATTTCAGATCAGTTACGTTTAAATTAATAATATATAGGGTCTATGAGCAAAAAATCTTTGAAATCGGAGGTTGACATCTTAAAACGTTCCCTCGTTCGTCCAAGCTAACAGTAAAAGAGGTTTTAACGTCATTCAGAACACACTAATTGACAAGTGCTCATATGCAATCATCAGAGTTCTTTCATATATCAGGGGCAAGAGAGCGAGTTGAAATCCCTCAAAATTTTGAATAGAAATTTTACAGGAAAGCTTACTCCCAAGAAAAATTCAAACAATCTTAGGAACGTTTACTGGAGCACAATACTAACAAATCTGTTTGATGATGTGTCTCCGTATGCTCAGATAATCATCCGTCCGTGACCAGGTAACAAGCAAATTCTTTTTAAGCTGCCATAGTACGAAGTTTCCTAATATCCTGCAGCTTTTTAACAGTCTTCCATTTTGACGAACCATCATTCTTACATTCAAATCTTCTTTGGTTTTTCATATTTGAAAAGAGAAGGGTATAAAATAGGAGGTAACGATGACTAAAAATTTAAAAATATGCCTAGTTAATATAACATACATGGCACAAGAAAGATTTTTTTCTGATAGTAATTACGCAATGAACCTTGTGATTAGATGCAGCACTTGATTTTGTCAACATCATGAAAGTTTGTTTGAAAAACATGTTTTTTCAAATATTGTCACTCTAAAGAACTTACATGAATAGATTTTATTCTTATTTAAGTCTGATAATTTTGGATTTATTTGTACTTTTAAGCTTTGTAGTAAAAGATTATGACTAACGAGGGAACCGCCTGAGGTGCTAAAAATCTTTTTGAGTGGGACTATTTTTAAAATGTAGATCCTCATGGACTATGAAGAATCCCAACTTGGTTCGTGCGCAATCAGCTTTGTTGCTGAGATA